TGAAAAATAACTTTGTTTTAAATTAAAACGCCCCAATTTCAAAACCTGCCTTGGGTTTCTGTTTCTGTATCTGTGACTCTTAAAAATCTAAGATTTGTTTTCTATTTTCCTTGGGTACCTCAATTTCCCTTCCTTGACAAAAAGAACTGTTTGTCCCTTCTTCATTTGATTTTATAATAAACTTGCTGCTGGCTTTAAGTTCAACTGCCCGACATGCAATAAAGCTTCCAAGTATCCAATAAAGTCAGCATAAAAGATAGCTTCTTCCTGACATTTAAAAACACTCAGCTTTCATGTCTCTGGCTCTCCCGCATCCCCAATCTAAGGCTGCCAGATCCTTCTTTCGGTGCCCTGTCCAAATACATCATAGTCACACAACGGTCATGTCTGAGACATTTTTCCAGTGACATTAGGGTCCAGTACTTCACAAACACCTAGTTAGAATGGATCCCCTATCCTTCAAGCTAAAACTTCCTTCTTTAGCTGATCACATCTCAAGAACAACTGAGAGCTTACATTTATGAGTAATCAATTCCTCAGCAAGTATTACTGTAGCTAAAATAGGTGTATTATATTCCATACTTCATGTTCCAATAACTTTTCATGAATGGGACGTGCAGGAGGGCTGGGAAACTCACCCTGCAGTGCCCCCTACTGGTCATTTTAAGAAGCGGCTAGGAGGGAATGAGGGGAAGGGCCCTGGCTTTCTACACGGTGCTGTGGGAATAATTTACATGGGAAGGTTTTGGTTTATTTCCACATACCTTTCAAATTGGGTATCATTTTGGTCCATATGCCATCCTGGTTACAAGCTCACAGAGAATGTCTGAGTCACATTGGTGACAACCCGGTGTCAACAGAAGGGAGAGGCACTTCCACCTCCAGAGAAAGTAGAATAGGACCCTCTAGGGAGGGACGCAAAGAACCTTGAATCTCCGAGGCCCTCCCCTGCCTCACCCCTGGCCCTAGACAGGGTGGCCACAACTGTACACAGTGTGAGTTTCATCTGTCAAAAACTATGTTGAACTTCTGTTGGATTTTTTTTCCTCTCATGAATTTTCCATCTCTTTCAACACGCAGATAATCATGGGAGAGTTAACTGCCTTGGTTATGCACTTGTTTTAATGAGATTTCCTAGAAGCAGATTAGTTTTTGTCTGACAACTAGTGTAAAACAACTTTGTTTGTGGTTAGATGGGACTAAAAGAGTTAAGACTTTTATTAAGGAGTTTGGGGCATGGACAAGGGAGGCCCAAAGGCCTCCAGGTATCCAGGGGAAGCAGAAGGATCCCGAAGGAAGTACCTGCAGTCCTGGCCATAAGAACACTTAACCTTATCTTGGTGAGGCAGGATGTTCAAATGGGACTCTTCCCATCTTAACATTTTGGCCATGCCCCAAAGCCGAGACAACAGATGTCAAGGCCTTCTCTTCAGGATTTGGAAGGGAGTGACCGAAAACATTGTTCTTCCAATGGGAGCCCATCACACACCTCCTGACAATATTAAAGAAATATTAGAATTCATCAGGAAGACAGAAGTTAGGAGGTAGTTGGGATTTTCTCTGAAGAGAGTTATGGGTGTCCAGGAGTCCCCATAGACAAGGAGAAGGTGGTACTTCCCCCTCCTTATGCCAAGAGGACTCTTCAAGAGGACAACTTGGGGAGTTTGCCGTTTGTTCCCTGGAGATTGTGGACTAACACCTGACTTGTCCCTCCAGTGTTGAAGATGAGAAGCTGGCTGGAATGGCTGCTTGGTAGTAAAGGGGCAGAATGAAGGGAACAGACAGCCTTTCCGGCGTTGAGTGGGAAACAGACATTCACAGAGTTCTCACTGGGCAACTGGAAACCCCATGGAAGAGAACCAGACTCTGGTTATCATAAATGGATCCCCTGGAGGAATAAGGTGACCCCAACGGAGAGACAGATTGCCAGGAGCCAGGGGCTGAGGGGAGAGTCACAGATGTCCAACTGCAGGAGTAACTGCCCACATTAAGGGAATTGCAGGTGGAAAACTGCTAAGACCAGAATCCCTGAAAACTCACTGCAAACTCCCTCTGCCCACCAAGAGTAAGCACTAACACTGCATCATCCAACCCATCCAGCCGTCTCAATGCCAGGTTACTACTGTCATGCCAAGCAGGACCTTCCCAGCCCCTTCACCTTCCCTTTCACCTCCACCTCCATCCAGGGCAGCAGAGTGAGTGGTGCAGAAGTAGAACAAGTTAGAGAAAGAGGCCCCAGCCATGCCTTTCCCCAGTTCCACACAGGCTTCAGCCCAGAGAGCCTGCGCTGAGGAAAAGGAAAAGCTTGGCTTCACCCGAACTTTGTGCAACCACTGTGATTATTGATGTATTTATCATTAAAAGAAAAAGAGAAACCTAGGCTCAGATCCCAGAATACCACCGCAGCTTGGGAATGATGCTGGAATACATGTTGTATATGCCTATAGGTGGATCAAAAAACAAAAGAGACTCCTGAGACCCCATGAGACATCCAATTTCATCTTCTATTCTAGGAAATAGGACTTTGGAAGCATAACGACTAATCTTTAAACGGCACTCTACAAACAACTCTACAAACTACTAATGTATGCATACGTTAGCAGTACATTTAATTCCCATAATAATCCCCATTTCAAAGACGAGAAAAATCAAGGTTCAGAGAACTAATTTGCCCCAGGATCAAGCACACTAGAGAGGCAATTTGAACCTAACCTATTTGATTTCAGGCTACTGACTCTGAAAACCACATGTAAAACTCAGTCTGTAGTTTTTCTGGGAAATTTCTGAAAATTTCAATGGATAAAAAGTGTTTATGGCCACCCCTCCCCCCACCAAAATTCATGTATTGAAATCCTCAACCCCAAGGTGATGGTATTGAAAGGTGATTAGGTCCCTTATAATGGGATTATTGCCTTTATAAAAGAGTCCCAAGTGAGATCCCTTGTCCCTCCTGCCATGTGGAGTTACAGTAAGACCATCCACCTATGAACGAGGAAATGGGCCCCCGCCAGACACCAAATCTGCCATTGCATTGATCTTGGCCTTCTCAGTTTCCTGAGAAATTTCTGTTGTTTCTAAGCCACGCAGTCTATAGTAGTTTGTCATAGTAGCCTGAATAAACTAAGACACAAAGAATCTCATGTCTTCTTTCCTAGATACTAATTCATAAATGTAACCTACTAGTTAACTATTAGATGCCTAACCCACCAGCCAATAAATACCCCTTTAAAACTAGCCTAAAAATATTGATTTTCTTACGCTTTCTTGAATACCCTAAAACACATTTTTCCTTGAGAAGTGGTCAGCTTCAACTATCTACAGAGAACTAGAAGATCCCTTTTACCTTGTCAAGCTCTGGGCCTCTAATCCTGCCCATCCAGTCTCTCGATAATTTCTCTGCACAGGCATATGTGACGTCCTGTGTGCCGCCTTTGTCCATGACCCATAGCCCACAGTAGGCTGTGGTGGTTCCTTAAAGCTGAGACAGAGTACTTTCCTTCTAACAAATCCCAGCATGTGCTCCCCTAACATGTCTGTTTTACTAATTTTACATTATATACAATTTTTCATTTCATTTGGTCTAAAATAAAGCTTTCAGTTTTTCTCAAATAGCATGGCAGATTCATTAAATCAGATTATTGCCCAGTTCCCCCTTCTCTTTCATCAAAAGGAAAGACAGGAAGATAGAAGCAGAAGAAAAGTGGAAACAGTCCAGGGCAGTAATATAGAAAAGTGAAAAAACGTAAAGTAAGTTTAACTCTCCCCCTCCTCCTGGAGAGTCAAGGTCCCAGAGACAGAACAGCAGCTTCTCTCTTTGCACCTCACACGTTCCGAGAGAGACTACACTTCCTGGCAGCCCTTCCCATTGCCATTTCAAGGCAACGGCTGTAGACACAGCATTTCTATCTTGGTTACACCAACCTTTAGAGTTCTGAGCAGAGCACTAAAGACTTACAAAGCGTTTATGGCCAAGGTCGCTTGGGGACCAGGATAGAGAACGCAGAAACATGTTTGGAACTTTAAAAATGCTGGGTAGGGTGGGAGGCCTAGGAAGTGGGGGTGTAGGATTCACGCGGTTGCCTCCATCCCCACCCGCCCATCACTAGCCTTAGATAAGCAGACAAGGGTTCCGGTCCTGGCTTGGCCTGGCACCTAGGAATAGCTCTGGCCCGAGGTAAGCCTAAGAAAGGCTAGAGTTTGGGATGGTGGGTTTCTCTGCTTCATAGGAGTCCTCAAACCTGGGCCCAGGCATTTTCCTCCTGTCGGCCCCCAACAGCAAACCCCAAACTAGCTGACTTCCTAGTGCATGGTAAGCACACCTGAGAGCAACAGCAAGCATACTCTGAGAATGACCTCGTATGGCAGACGCACCTGAGTGTATTCCGATAGTGAATCCAAGTCACCAACCCAGAGATTCATTCCTTGTCTATAAGGAACATCTGAGCCCTCAGGCCGTCCCGTGGAACACTGGCTCTATGGGGCATGGAGGCCCTGAGTTTGGGGTTGAGGAGTGCGGTACATGAAAGCTGCCAGGTGGAGATCATTAAGGAGAGGGTGTTAAATGAAAATGCGGTATAAACTGCATGCCATTTGCAAGCATTTGTGGTTTTCCTGCCCAGCCCGCTGCCACTGGACCATGTGTACGGTGGTTATGTTGTCCAGCCCACCACCGCTGGATTGTTTCTATAGATAAGGTGGTTCTCCTGTCCAGCTCACCACCACTGGACTCTCTCCCCTGTAAGTCAGTCCCAATAAAATCCCCAAGTCATATTTGCTAGCTCTGGGTCTCTTTGACCTCTTGAACTTGGTGCCTTTTCTATTGAGGTTAACAGGGTTTCAGCACAACACCTAGGCCTCCAGCACAGCTCCCCATCCCACCCCCCACCTCTTCTCCCCCATCAGATCCTGATTGTTTCCCTCAGCCTCAGAGGTCTGAACCCTGGCCCCCCCATCCTCTAAGAGCCCAACTCCTGCCCACTGATATTTGAAGGTCTTCTTACCTCTCCTGCAGTTCCCGTTGTTCTCCCATAGATCCTTCTGTGGTCCCTCCATCGGCAGGTTCTTCCACTACCTCAGAGGAAGATGTTACCCTCCAAACTTTTGTCCTTTAGAATTTCATCCTCATAGCCCCACCTGTCCTCACCTAGGCTGCACTGATAAAGGTGCTGAGTCAAGCCCCCACGGCCCACCAAGGCAAGTTCTCAGGGCACCCCATCTCCCCAGTTGGTCCCAAACCAATCCCTCTCACTCTTGTCTTGCTTCCTATAAATCGTGCTTCTGTTTGTCTTCAGCCCCTCCAGATTAAAGACGTACCCATATTCTCCTGGCATTGGAACCTCAGCTTTTCCCCATAGTTGGTGTCAGCTCCCTGATCAAGCTCAGACACCCCATAACATGAGTTCTATTGTTATCCCCATTTTACAGATGCTAACGTCTGCCACAGAGAGCTTAGGCTGCTTGCCTAAGAAAGGAGGCTGACTACAGACTCAAAATCTTCCTACACCAGTTCCCAAATTTCAGTGGGCATCAGAATCACCTGGAGGGAATCAGATGGCTGGGGTTCAATCCCAGAGTTTGAGTCAGTAGGTATAAGATCTGATTATCTGCATTCCTAACAAGCTCCCAGGTGATGCTGATGTTATTGATCTAGGGACCACACTTTGAGAACCACTCACCTACGCTCTTCTGTGCTTCTAACTACACTTTGAAACAGGCCAATGAAATCATAATCATTAGAGGTGTGGCCTAGGCACCAGTGTTTTTTAAAAGCTCTCCAGATAATTCAAATGTGCAGCCTGATTTAAGAACTACTAGATATAGTCTTGCCAATCAAAGCATACGGGCAGCATCAACATCACCTGAGTCTACTCAGACCCTATTACCGGATGGAAGGTCTTGACTGAGTTGTCCAGGTTCTTGGCAAGTTGAACACAGAATGAAATAAAATGCGCAAACAAAGCAATAAAAGAATGAAGCAACGAAAGACAAACAACAACAAAAAAAGTAACGAAAGCACAGATTTATTGAAGGAAAGCTACAATTCAGAGTGGGAGCAGACTCCAGCAAGTGATGCGGCACAAGAGCACCCCACCCCCAACAACAACAATTAGGCTTCTTACTAAGTTACAAAAGTTTAGTAACTCTCCTAGATGCACTTTAGAGGCCTCCAATTGATTACACCCTATGAAGGATTGGCCTGTGACCAATCAGAGGCTGAAGTGGAAACTTCTGTCTTGTTATCAGAGGAACAAGGATGTGGCCTGTATGCTGCCTAATCTTGCCTGGAACTTGCTGCACCTGCTGTTCTTTCCATATACCTTAACCCTTGGTTACCCCAATTCCCTGTTCTCCTGCCTCACCCCCAGGTGACTGATATCTCATTAAAGTTTAAGGAACGCTGATAAACACTCTACTGCCTCACAGTTCCTCCCTAGCTGTTCAGCCCTTTAACAGAGATCCCAGGCAATTGCTGTATCAGGTGGGGTTCTACCAGAGAAACAGAACCAGTAGGAGATCTTAGTAAGAGATGTATTCCAAGGAATTAGCTTACCAGATTGTGAGACTGGCTAAGCAAGTCTTAAATCCAAAGGGAAGGCCATCAGTCAGGACAAGATGCAGCTCGCAGGCAAAGGTTGAAAGTGCTGTCCCCAGGCAGAATTTCTTCCACTCTCAGGGATACCTCAGCCTGCTTTTAAGTCCCTTCAATTGATTGAGTCAGCTTGGATTATCCAGGATAATATCCCTTACTTAAAGTCAACTGCTATGAACTTCAGTCACATTTACAAAATACCTTCATAGTTTGAATGAAAAACTAAGAACTAACTGTAGCTTAGCCAACACACAAAACTGACCATCACAACCACTGAGGTTGCTTGATTTAGTAATAGAGCCCATGGTTGGGTACCTTCTCTTTTATGAACCACCAAAGTAAACAGATCAGGCAGGGGGTAGTGGCTCACGCGTGTAATCCCAGCACTTTGAGAGGCCAAGGTGGGTGGATCACTTGAGGTCAGGAGTTTGAGACCACTCCAGGCAACATAGTGAAACTCCGTCTCTACTAAAAATACAAAACTTAGCTGGGCATGGTGGTGCACGCCTGTAGTCCCAGCTACTCGGAAGGCTGAGCCAGGAGAATCGCTTGAACCCAGGAGGCGGAGGCTGCAGTGAGTCAAGATCGCACCACTGTACTCCAGCCTGGGTGACAGAGTGAGACCCTGTCTCAAAAAAAAAAAAAAAAATCAATATGTGTTTACCTAAGCATTGATTAAAATATTGAGTCAGCTAGTGACAAGTGATTACTTCCACTTCCTTCAGTTTTCATCACTGATTTCCCTTTCCCTAGGCGCTCATAGATGACCATAATAAGTAAGCAACAAGAATTTCCTCTTTTTCTAAAAGAATCCATCAGCTCATTTAAAACATAAGAAAAACTGGTCATATAAGCAATCGAGTGTCCTCATCTTTTGTGGATCTGAAGACTATACAAGACTATAGAGCCTATACAGTCTTCAAGCCTGTGCAGATTACAAAGGCTTATTCCCACTTTGAGCTGGACTCTAAATAATGCACCCTAATATTGTACATTTTCTAGCAGCTACGTCACATTCTTGAAGTGTTTTGAGCTTGAAAGCTACTGAATAATTCTCCCTGTGAATTCCCAACAGACTGAATTTCTGCCTGGTCTGTTAATTATTTGTTATCTGTTAATTATTTTAACCAAAGTTGAGGCTTCACAGTCCTTCCTTTATTCATTTACACAACAAATACGCTAAGCACACAACACACAGACAAGAAACTCCCTGCCAAATGGGAGAGCAAAACCATGTGAGATGTCATGTCATAGAGACAAGCACAAAGTAAAAGTCCATCTTGCTAATTTGGGATCATTCTTATAACTTTTAAATTTTTTTCTTTCTGTTTTTAAGTGCATATCTATCTAACCCAGCTTCATCTTAACCACAAATTCAATAGGCACGTTTTATGTTTTTGTCCAAATTGTTGCATATCTATCTATCTATCTATATATATATATATTTTTTTTTTTTCTTTTTCTGAGACAATGTCTTACTCTGTCACCCAGGCTGGAGTGCAGTGGCGCGATCTCGGCTCACTGCAACCTCCGCCTCCCGGGTTCAAGTGATTCTCCTGCCTCAGCCTCCTGAGTAGCTGCAACTACAGGCGCACAACCACAACTGGCTAATTTTTTGTATTTTAGTAGAGACGGGGTTTCACCGTGTTCCCCAAGCTGGTCACGAACTCCTGGGCTCAAGCAATCTGCCCACCTCAGTCTCCCACAGTGCTGGGATTACAGGTGTGAGCCACCGCGCCTGGCCACTTATATTTTAATAGCATTGGTTGGTACCTCAGAATTGATCCTCTTTGGGTTTGACTGTTTAATTACTGTAGTGGTTTGAATGGTGACCCCCAAAATGTCAGGTCCATGTCCTCACCCCTGGGACTTGTGAATGTGACCCTATTTGGAATAGGGCCTTTGCAGACATAATTAATTGAAGGATCTCAAGATAAGATCATTCTGGATTACCTGTATGGGTCCTAAATCCAACGACAAGTGTCCCAAGAGACACCTAGGGGGGACACAGAGAGGCAGAAATTGGAGCTACACAGCCACAAGCCAAGGAATGGCTGGAGCCACCAGAGCTGGAAGAAGCAAGGCAGGATTCTGCCCTAGAGCCTTCCGAGGGAACTCAGTCCCGCCAACACCTTGTGATATCGTTTGGCTGTGTCCCCACCCAAATCTCATCCTGAATTGTAGCTCCCATAATTCCTATGTGTTGTGGGAGGGACCCAGTGGGAGATAATTGAATCATGAGGGTAGTTTCCCCATACTGTTCTCATGGCAGTGAATAAATTCAAGAGATCTGATGGTTTTATAAGGGAAAACCCCTTTCACTTGGCTCTCATTCCCTCTTGTCTGCCACCATGTAAGACGTGCGTTTCACCTTCCTCTTTCTGCCATGATTGTGAGGCCTCCTCAGCCATGTGGAACTATGAGTCCATTAAACCTTTTTCTTTATGAATTATCAGCAGCATGAAAACAGACAATACACCTTGATTTCAGACTTCCGGCCTCCAGAATTGTGAGAGAATAAATTCCTGTTATTATAAGCCACCAAGTTTATGGTCATTCATGACAAAAACCACAGGAAGCTACTACTACATGTTTAACCACTGCCTGTTGAGTGCCTCCTTGATGGACATATTAGTAGGAGTCAGATGTTGTGTGAAGGAAGCAGCCAAAGGCACATACAGGCCCCAAGGACACATGCTAAAAGGCATGAAGACAGAAATATAAGTGACTACACTCAGGGTCCTTCATAAGAAGCCTGGACTAGCCTGCAGGGACGAGTGCTGGGCTAATGGTGAGCAGTCAGCTTCAAGAGGAGAGCTGGAGATGGCAAGAGTTTGGACTTGATTTGATCCAAGGGGCAGCCTTAGGCTTTTGATTAAAGCCAGGTATTTTAATGGTTAAATTGGAAACAATGTGCAGTATGGATAAGGATGTGGGCAGGGAGGGTAGTTTCTGAAAGAAGGCTGTCTCAAGAGTCCAGGCATTAGATTAATAAGGCTGTGTCAAAGGAAGAATCCACGAGAATTAACACATTAGAGAATTTCAAGATAACAAATCCAATGTCAAACCTCAGAATACAAAAAAAAAAAGGGAATGGCTCTGTCCAAACTGGAAATACTAGAATGAAAATTTAGTTTGAATGCCAGTTTAATCAGTGCCCATTTGAACATCTGATGCCTGAGTCTTATTGGCACATACACAAATCACTACTCCCTTACTCCTTCCACCTTTTCCCTGCAGGTTTCCCTTTGCAAATAGCAGTCGCTGTCACGGGGCCTCTCAGTAAACACGAAGTAACCCTGGTGCAGTCATGAGAAGAAGCTCTGACCCATGTGGCCAGCTGCTCGATGTGCAACAGGTACAATGAAACTCAAACAGATGAGGCTCAATTTGCTCCACCTCTCTCTGCTAATGAGATTTTCATGAGAACTTAAATTTTGGGAGAGTGGGGGTGGTGTGTGAATGTCATTGAATTGGTAGGTGTTTTAACCTGATAAAATGAAGATACGTAAGAAGAAAGAGGCTAGCAGGCAGATGGGGAGGGGGGAAGGCATGAGCTGTACCCATGGTTATTTGTCAAAAATATTTCTTCTAGGCTAAACAATTTTTAGCTTCAATTTTGTTAAAAGCACAAAGTAGTCCATTATGGGCAATAATCCATTAAAAAAAAAAACAATGCAGTGAAAGTTCTAGGATTGAATCTGACTCAAAATCAAGATCAGTAGCTGGGACCGAACTGTGCAGGGTCGGGGGACACACACATACACTGAGAATGTTAAGTACTAAGAATCAAGATATAATGGGTTAAATCCTTTCAGAAATGCTTATTGGCATCTGCTGTGTGCTAATCCCTGTTCTAGATGCAGGGTATAGAGTGGTAAACAAGAGAGACCTATCCTCCACCTCCCTACATGGCTTGCCTAAGGGTGAGCTGAAAATGAAAGCAACATAACCTCATAATGCAGTCAAAAGGACCCAAATGTTCTTATGTCTGTGAGATAAGCAGGATGTAGTCACACAAAAATATTAATGAAATGCAAAAGATATAAAGGAGACTGTAACCTCAATTACATCTTAGCAGCATGAGGTAATAGTGCTTTCAGAAGTGGATGTTTCCTTTTTAAAAGGAATTCAAGGATCTTTGTGATGATGGAAGAGTTCTGTATCCTGATTGTGATGGTGAATACACAAATCCACACATGATAAAATTGCATAGAACTATTCACACACACCCAAATAAGTGCATGTAAAACTGGTGAAATCTGCAAAAGATCTGTGGATTGCACCAATGTCGACTTCCTGGCTTGATATTGTACTCTAGCTAGGCAAGATGTGTCCACTGGCAGAAACTGAATTAAGGGTGTATATAGTACCTCTCTGAACCATTCTGGCAGCCCCCTGTGAATCTATGGCTATTTCAAAATAAAAAGTTTTTTTAAGGAATTTGAGAGTAAGGAATGTTATAATTGAGACTATGATCCACCCAGGACAGAAGGTGTCTCATTTTGGGACCACTGTCAACATTCTAGACACAGCCCTGGAAGGAGACAGGGTAACCCATCCAGCTTCCTCAGCGTCCTAGAAACAAGTCTCCTCCTACACAGCCCCTTTAACTATCCCAAGGATCCCACAACAGAGGCACACGTAAAAACCTATGGCAAACTCTGGACTCCAACTCAGGAAATTCCTCCAGAATGCCTCCCCAGGGCCAGCTTGAAGCCCCCTCAACACACATGCTTCTTGATTCTCTTGGCTTCCCGCCTTGGTTCCCTCATGGCTTGTTACCCTGCGTGGGACTGGCAATGGTGCCCCAGACTCTTGGTGCTGACCTGAGACTTCACGGGGCAAGACTTGGTCCTCACTCCTCAGCTCCAAGTTCTGATGTGCCTCTGAAAAATCAGGCTGAGGCCATGTGACCTGGAGCCCAGAAAAAGTAATGATGTCCCCTGTTTCCTTACCCCTCCAATCCAATGAATATCTGTTACTGTCTTTGTTCAGGTTGTATTCTTACCTAGCAACAATTAATCAATGATTTGGACTTTCCAGTAGATTCATTCATTGGGAGAGAGTGATCAGAGAAAATAAGCAATATTTATTATCGTAGTTATTATACCTGTCATTGTAAAGAAATCCATTTCCCCTCCGGTTTCAGCATGATTTAAGGCAGTCCCTCAGTACCGTAGAGTAGTTATGACTCTAGAGTCAGGCTGCCTAGGTTTAAATCCTGGCTTTGTCCACACTTGCTCTGAAACCTTAGATACCGCCACTTACTTGTTATGGGACCTCAGGCAAAAACCTCATTTCTCTGAGGCACTTTGTTTCCTCATCTGTAAAGTGCGATAATTAACAGAGCCTACCTCACAGGGCTGTTGAGAACATTAAATTGAGTAATACATCTTAAGTACTTCAAGTAGTGCCTACCTGCAGTAAGGGTTATATAGTAGTTATTAAGACTGCCTGGAAATTAACAAAATGTTGAAGACTGTAAAACTAAGAGACAGTCCTGTACCTATAAGGACTGAGTTAACCTTAAGCCCTGCCTCACTAGCAGACCCAAACAGAGAAATAAGCCAGCTTCTGAGACTTCTCTTGCCCCCAAGTCCCTATAGAATTGGTATTTATTCTGCTTGGTGATTTTTTAAAAAGGGCCACAAACCAACGCTAAGTTTTGCCCTTCAACATTAAAATCATCTGGCAAGTGATTCCAGTCAGAGAAACAGCCTGCCAGGAGTCCACACAGACCTGTTGCTGCACTGACTCACCCATGGAATAAGAGTTGCAAAAACAGTCCATGTAAAGGTCTCTGAAAATACCTCAGGTAGTAGTGTTTTTGAAACAAGTACTGCCTGGGAAAGAACCACAATCAATGAATACTTCGCATGGGACTAAGAGAAGTGAAACTGTTCTAGGCTCTATGATAACAGATCAACCAATTATTCAAGCAAAGTTGACCAAAGAAACTAAGAAACTAATCATTTCATTCAATTAACTCGCCAGTTTAGTGAAAGATTAAGTTAACTTTGTGTTCAATTCCATCAAAAGTATTAAACATGTTTTGCTATAATCACAAGCTTTTTGTTTGTTTGTTTTGAAACAGAGTCTCACTCTGTCGCCCAGACTGGAGTGCAGTGGCATCATCTCAGCTCACTGCAAGCTCCCCCTCCCGGGTTCACACCATTCTCCTGCCTCAGCCTTCTGAGTAGCTGGGACTACAGGTGCCCGCCACCACGCCTGGCTAATTTTTTGTATTTTTAGTAGAGACGGGGTTTCACCATGTTAGCCAGAATGGTCTCAATCTCCTGACCTCATGATCCGCCCGCCTCAGCCTCCCAAAGTGCTGGGATTACAGGCGTGAGCCACCAAGCCCAGCAATCACAAGCTTTACCTGTAGCTCACCTGACAAAAAATTTAAATGACAGTTCACCCAGGGAAACATACAAGAGTTAGAAACTGGCTATGCATTTCACGAAATTGCCAAAACCAAAAATTAACTTTGTATGGAAAGAGCTTAGAAAGTCAAGCTATAGTACCTGTCAATATCATTAAAATCTGGTTGCCCTAAAATGTGATTCTGGCTAAGTCGAAAAAAAAAAAAGAAAAAGAAAAAGACATACCTTAAAAACTGATCACAACACAATTAATAAATACCAAAGTAATGGTTGTATTTGAACAGGTGATGGGGAAATTAGGCAGGGAAAACTGCACGGGCTGATTCTGACTGATTCCATTAAGCCAACTGGTGAAGTAATACTGCTGTTTCTCTGGAGAGACACAGACATCTCTGAAGACTCCTTTTATTTTCCCTACCATGAGTCCCTGGGCCCCTGGAGGAGTTCCAAACGCAAAAATTCTACATCCATACTTTGCATAGATTTCAGAAGTCGGCAAAATAAAACCAGACATTTTTTTTAAATGACGCAATCTCAAGGATCAATAGAACCACTAATAGAAGACCAAGACCTAACAGAATCATCCTAACTGTCCATTCTTGGAAATGTTCTTAGAATGTGGGGAGGGGGGTTGGAGAATGGAGCTGGAACACGAAAGTACCAAATAACAGCCAATATTTGTTGGGTGCTTACAATGAGGCAGGCATGCTTCTAAGCACTCCTGTGCATTAATTTATCTAATTCTCAGGAGAGCAGTGTTATCAGTTCCATGTCACAGATGAGAGAAACTGAGATGCAAAAACATTAAGCAACCTCCCCAAGATCCATAGTGAATAAGTGGCAGAGTTGGGATATTTTATCCAGGCAGTATGGCATTTAGTTTATTTAGTTTATTTAGTTCAGTACTACACTATGAGGCCAAACTGAAGACCCTCCCTTAAACAATGCCAAACATGGGGCCAAATGAATCCATTGAGTCCCCATCAGCTTAGACGAACTTCCAGCAACAGTGGAGGTACATCTAAGAGCGTGGGGCCAGTGTTTGCAAAGAGGCAGGCACTGGGACCGTGGAGCAAACCCAATGACATCTCTTTTTTTAATTTATTTTATTGTCTTAAAATGAATTAAGTGTACGTTATTGTTGACTATAGGTACAACGTTGTCCAGCAGATCTTAGAACTCACTTGTCTTGTTAACTAAATTTTACGCCCAATGATTAGTAACTCCTTATTTCCCTCTTCCCCCAGTCCCTAGTAATTACCATACTACTCTTCGATTCTTTGAATTTGACTATTTTAGATACCTCATACAAGTGGAATCTTCTCTGACTGGCTCATTATTGCACTTAGCATTATGTCCTCAAGGTTCATCTATATTGTCATGTAGTGCAGAATTTCCTTCTTTATTAAGGCTGAGTAGTATCCCACTGTATGTATATACATTTTCTTCATTCATCTCTCAATGGACATTTTTTGCTGCAATAAACACTGGAGTGCTACTATCTCTTCAAATTCTCATTTCAACTATTTTGGATAAATACCCAGAAGTGGGATTGCTGGATCATATGGTAGTTCTAATTTTCAGTTTTTGAGGAACTTCCACACTTTCTCTTAGCAGCTGCACCATTTTGCATTCCCACCTACAGTGTACAAGATTTCCAATTTGTCCAAATCCTCACCAACAGATGATGATGTCTTTTGTTTTGTTTTTTGATAACAGCTACTCTGACAGGTATGAGATAATATTTCATTGTGATTTTGGTTTGCATTTCCCGATGATTAGTAACATTCAGCATTTTTAATATACTTGGCCATTTGTGTGTCTCCTTTAGAGATTAGACTGTTATCCTATATCATACACAAAAATCAACTCAAAATGCATCAGAAACTTAAATTTATGACCTGAAATTATAAAAATTCCTAGAAGAAAACATAGGGAAGAAGTTTCACGATGTCGGTCTTGACAATGATTTCATGCACAGGCAATGGAAACAAAAATAAATCAATTACATCAAACTAAAAAGCTTCTGAACAGCAAAGGAGATAAGTAACAGAGTGAAAAGGCAACCTATGGAATGAGAAAGAATACTTGCAAACAATACATCTGATACAGGGCTAATCTCTAGAATACATAAGAAACCTCTACAACTGAATATTTAAAAAAAAAAAAAAAAAAAAAAGTAACCTGATTAAAAACTGGGCTAAGAACTTGAATAGACATTTCTCCAGTGACATCTTTATAAGATTGGGAAGAGGGAAAAAAGGAAGAAATTAGTGCTGTAACAAAATATTGAGCCGGTATCAGTTTTTTTCTTATGAGCCTTGGCACAACTTCTATAGGCTGGCCACATCCATGAGGGTTCCATGCCTGGGAGGCATGGAAAACACCCTAAAACAGTGTCCTGGTAGCCATTTAAGAAAGGGTGGACTTACAAAATAGCAATAATGAAGTGCAACTCCCCATTGCTGCAGCCTTGCCAGGCCCTATAAACCATTTGAGAGCTCCTAGCACCTGTGGCACTCAGGCCCCAAAGCAAATGAGGAGAGAAGGGAGCGGCTACCTTTCCTGTTTCAGAGAGATGTAGAAGGAGGTGAAGGATGGTAATGCCTGTTAGCACAGAAAAGAAAACTCTCCTCACAAGGAAAAGATATAGCCACCTGAAAAGTAAAAGTAATTATCATTATTAGTGAGAAATGAAATAATTAGTCTAGGAGCAGAGACCTGGCTTTTAAGTATGTGTCTCATGAAACAGTCAAATAAGGGCAAAGAGGACAAAAAGAACTAGAATGGAGATAAGTGGAGTTATTTAGAAACTGAAAAAATATATACATTTTTAAATCATCAGCTACAGTTGAGAATGGCCAAAATCTGAGAGTGAGTTTACAGAGGAAATTGACTGGAAACCCAGAGAGATGTCCTCGGTCTACTCAGAGTTCTTGTTGGACCCTTCTAAGGAAGATAGAGGTGTTTGCTGTCCTTTATCCCAGGAAGCTGTCCTGAGTAGGGCAAGGCGGCATCACCCAAGCCATATGGAGCTTTCAAAGGAAAGAAGGAGAGGACGGTGAAGGTAGACCAGCTGTTTCTCACTGGGTTAGAAAAACTTCCAGAAAACCACACAGAGCCTTCTACATGATGGGACATGCTGAACATGCCAAAGAGAAAGGTCCCATTGGGATGGGATTGGAGGGTATTTTCCCCCTTTACTTGTAATGATTCAAATACTGATGGATGCCATACAAAATTGAGGAAGCAGTAGGGGGAAGGGGGATCTTAATGGAGCTCATGTATGCAACATATGGAACAAGTTATTGAAGAAAGTGCTTCTAACAAAGTTTATAAAAGTTAAGAAGAGGCAGTTATGCTTCTTTTAGAGACAGCGAAGATTGAGGGTGTGGTGAAAAAATAGGACAACAGGATTAAGATAAACCAAAACAGAGGAGAAATATTGGGCCAGATGAACTTTCACCTTCCCTAAAATGATTTATGTACTTATGGAGAGCTAGACTGGACTTGATTTCAGGGGGTGAGGGTTGCTGGTGAACCTGCATGTATCCAGTATTTCTGCAGAAATTCTGGACAAATCTACACTTCTACAGGCAGAGCCAACATTGAACACGCGTGGTGATAAGGTTCTCTATTTAAATGGGACAAACACTTAATTGAGCACCTCATTCTGAGTAACAAAGAGATAAGGAAATAAAAAAGGAAAGAGCATCTGAATGTACAGAAATCTAAGTAAAGAAGTGGCTAACTTTTTGTAATGCTCTAGTTTTTTTTATCTTTGTTCTAGAAAATAATCATTTCTCTCTGTTTCATTCATGACTTATTGGTGTCAGAACTCAAGAGAGACTCAAATGTGACAAAAGGCCCTGTGAGGACCCAACATGATCTAACCAGTCTATTTCACAGTGGCTTAGGCCAGAGAGGACTGGGCAGAACAAAGATTGTTAGCATAGTGGTGAGCTAAATGTCAGTGTGTCTGACTAACTGTCACAGGGGAAAGCAGGAGCCAGAATCACCAGGAGATGAAGTGTAAGACTTGGAAACTTTACTGCATTGCAGGTAGTGGATGGGGAGGTTGAGGGAATGCAGACTAGCCAAGTCCAAGGCCCAAACAGCCAGCTGAGGGTTGAGCCTGGAAGCTTTGCTAAGGGTTGAGATCCATGGAAGGGTCATGAAATCAAGGTAGCCAATATTTCTCCAGAATTTTAAAAATAGAGTAAGATAGGACAGGATAGGATAAGATATACAATAGATTATACTAGAAGAGTAAATTACACTCTACTAAGGATAAGTATTGTTTAGTGAAACTTTTAATTCAGAGGGGCTGTATGTGGGTGTGTGTAGTGTTTGTGTGTACTGGGTCATTATATAATGACTCAAAAAAGTTTCAAACCACTGACAAGAGAGGCTCAAATAAAAATAGGGGAGGAGGAAAGAAAGTGTTATAAAAAAGGAAAAACCCTGAGATCACTACACCTCTGGATTTAGAAGTGTCTATAACTTTCCTTGTTGTATTGCTTTCCTTATTGAGTCAGGTTTTCTATTGCTTGCTGCTGACTAAATCACAAGGCAGCAAGGGTGAAGTGAAGATTAAATTAGATAATCTGGAGTTGGACATGGTAGCTCCCGCCTATAATCCCAGCATTTTGGGAAGCTGAGGCGGGTGGATCACTTGAGGCCAGGAATTAGAGACCAGACTGGGGAAGATGGTGAAATACTGCCTCCACAAAAAATTTAAAAATTAGCCAGTCAAGCCATATGCAGAAAACTGAAACTGGACCCCTTCCTTACATGTTTTACAAAAATTAACTCAAGATAGATTAAAGACTTAAACGTAACACCTAAAACCATAAAAACCCTAGAAGAAAACCTAGGCAATACTATTCAGGACAGAAGCATGGGCAAAGACTTCATGACTAAAACACCAAAAGCAATGGCAACAAAAGTCAAAATTGACAAATGGGATTCAATTAAACTAAAGAGCTTCCACACAGCAAAAGAAAATATCATCAGAGTGAACAGGCAACCTACAGAATGGGAGAAACTTTTTGCAATCTATCCATCTGACAAAGGGCTAATGTCCAGAATCTACAAAGAACTTAAACAAATTTACAACAAAAAAAACAAACAACCCCATCAAAAAGTGGACAAAGGATATGAACAGACACTTCTCAAAAAAAGATATTTATGCAGCCAACAAGCATATGAAAAGAAGCTCATCATCACTGGTCATTAGAGAAAAGGAAATCAAAACCACAATGAGATACCATCTCACACCAGTTAGAATGGTGATCATTAAAAAGTCAGGAAACAACAGATCCTGCAGAGGATGTGGAGAAATAGGAACAATTTTACACTGTTGGTGGGAGTAAATCAGTTCAACCATTTGTGGAAGACAGTGTGGCGATTCCTCAAGGA